TGAAAGTGTTGTGGTCAGATGAGACCAGAATCGAGCTCTTTGGCATCAACTCAACTCGCCGTGTTTGGAGGAGGAGGAATGCTGCCTATGACCCCAAGAACACCATCCCCACTGTCAAACATGGAGTTGGAAACATTATGCTTTGGGGGTGTTTTTCTGCTAAGGGGACAGGACAACTTCACCGCATCAAAGGGACGATGGACGGGGCCATGTACCGTCAAATCTTGGGTGAGAACCTCCTTCCCTCAGCCAGGGCATTGAAAATGGGTCGTGGATGGGTATTCCAGCATGACAATGACCCAAAACACACGGCCAAGGCAACAAAGGAGTGGCTCAAGAAGAAGCACATTAAGGTCCTGGAGTGGCCTAGCCAGTCTCCAGACCTTAATCCCATAGAAAATCTGTGGAGGGAGCTGAAGGTTCGAGTTGCCAAACGTCAGCCTCGAAACCTTAATGACTTGGAGAAGATCTGCAAAGAGGAGTGGAACAAAATCCCTCCTGAGATGTGTGCAAACCTGGTGGCCAACTACAAGAAATATCTGACCTCTGTGATTGCCAACAAGGGTTTTGCCACCAAGTACTAAGTCATGTTTTGCAGAGGGGTCAAATACTTATTTCCCTCATTAAAATGCAAATCAATCTATAACATTTTTGACATGCGTCTTTCTGGATTTTTTTGTTGTTATTCTGTCTCTCGATGTTCAGATAAACCTACCATCAAAATTATAGACTGATCATGTCTTTGTCAGTGGGCAAACGTACAAAATCAGCAGGGGATCAAATACTTTTTTCCCTCACTGTATGTAGCAAGCTAAGGTGACAACAATGCCTGCCATGGACATTTCCCAGTTGCTTTGAATGTTCAAAATCATAGTGTAAGAACACTTTTAAATCCTCAAATGGATAAGATGATCCGACTTTAAAAACTATTCATTTTTGTCTAGCCACAGCAGTCAACTGCTAGCTAGGTAACTGTTAAGCTTTCTAGCACATTCACTAATTCGTTTGTAAACAATTAACAAGCTAGTTAGCTACCACATGTACTGATCAAACTGTCAACAGAGTAGCTAGCAAGCAACAAGATTGGTATCTGATTTCAAACCACATACGATGGTGGTTTGAAATGTGGCTTGAAATATTCGATTCCATGTGCTTTTTGGCTGTTCAGACTGCAGGAAAAATAACAGATTTGAATCGGATATGCAATTATTATTATTTTTGTCACTTCAAACTGCCAGTGTGAACAAGGCTTAACTAGCGTTTTGTACAGTTATGCATCTGTTGGACACAAATACCTTTTTTTTATGTAGGGGCGTGGATCAGAAAAACAGGCAGTATCTGGTGTGACCACCATTTGCCTCATAGAGTTGATCAGGCTGTTGATTGTGGCCTGTGGAACGTTGTCCCACTCCTCTTCAATGGCTGTGTGAAGTTGCTGCATATTGGCGGGAACTGGAACACGCTGTCGTACACGTGGATCCAGAGCATCCCAAACATGCACAATAGGTGACATGTCTGGTGAGTATGAAGGTCATGGAAGAACTGGGACATTTTCAGTTTCCAGTAATTGTGTACAGATCCTTGCGACATGGGGTCGTGCATTATCATGCTGAAACATGAGGTGATGGCGGCGGATGAATGGTACGACAATGGGCCTCAGGATCTCGTCATGGTATCTCTGTGCACTCAAATTGCCATTGCTAAAATGCAATTGTGTTAGCTTATGCCTGCCCATACCATAACCCCACCATCACCATGGGGCACTTTGTTCACAACGTTGACATCAGCAAACCGCTCATACACACGACGTCATACACGTGGTCTGCAGTTGTGAGGCCGGTTGGACGTACTGCCAAATTCTCTAAGATGACGTTGGAGGCGGCTTATGGTAGAGAAATGAACTTTCAATTCTCTGGCAACAGCTCTGGTGGACATTCCTGCAGTCAGCATGCCAATTGCATGCTCCCTAAAAACTTGAGACAACTGTGGAATTGTGTTGTGTGACAAAACTGCACATTTTAGAGTGGCCTTTTATTGTCCCCAGCACAAGGTGCACCTGTGTAATGATCCTGCTGTTTAATCAGCTTCTTGATATGCCAAACCTGTCAGGTGGATGGATTATCTTGGCATAGGAAAATGCTCACTAACAGGGATGTAAACAAATTTGTGCACAACATTTGAGAGAAATACGTTTTTTGTGCTTATTGAAAATATCTGGGATCTTTTATTTCAGCTCATGAAAGATGGGACCAACACTTTACATGTTGTGTTTATATTTTTGTTCAGTGTATATGAAGAAGTTGCACGTCAATATCGCAATTTCAATTAAAATTTGATTATTTGTGTAGCCCTAGTATGTAGGATGGAAATACTTCAAATTAGTATATGAGAGTGAGAAATTGGGGGAGCAAGAGCTTAACAGGAACAGACAAGGACCAAACAGAAAGGGAAGGTAAACACATAAACACAAACTGAAAGAGAATGAGAAAGTGAAGGTTTAAGGGTAGGTGGAGGTGATATAAAAGTAGGGCAAAGAAGGAAAAGAAAGATAAATGGAGAATGAAAGGTCGTGCTAAATCATTCTTTTACAGAATGTTATTGACTAAACAACTTAGCAACTAAACAATTTAATTTAGAATATACATGTATGAAGACTTTTGCTAAAAGTGATATTTTTATTGTCATAATTGTTAACAATCGTCATTCTTAGTTCAATTTACAGTTTTTTTCATTGATTCTTGTCAAAGGTAAACACAATTCTTGTTGTTGTCGCCAACATTAGTAAATGCTTTTTAAAAATCCTAACGTAAACTAACATTACTGAAGCACATACTCTCTCTCTCTCTCTCTCATACACGCTTGCATATTCAGATCCTACAAACAAGTCCCTCAACGAATATGAAAAAAGTCTAAAATGCACACATACTCGAAAGCGCGGACAAACACACTCCTAATACATACATACACACACAAATGTGCAAGGATATGCCTTTTCTCTCTCACGCACAGGCACACACACACACACATTCTGTCCCTACCAGTATATAAAGTCACATTACAATGCACTATCCTCATTTCTTGTGTCAAACATTTTAAGTGCAGCACTTGAGGGTGATGTCTTTTATCCAGCATCACCTCCCCTCTTATTTCTTCTGTGCTGTTGCCATACATTTTATGGTTAAATGTGATGCTTTATCACAAGTGAGAAGAAGTTACATCTCTCCTCAAAAGTCTTAACCGGCACCTATCCGTGTACTGTACTTAACAGAAGCAAATGCTTTAGCAAAAAAATTATAGTTTGGCACAATAGCTTAATGAAAAAATACTTCAAAATGTACATAAACAAGCAAATCAATAAATAATGTACTTTAAAAATAAATAAATAAACCATACAGCATTGTCATCGATAATGCAATCTTGATATTGTCCGACTTTATAGTACAAAACAGTAAATCAGTGGACTGCTGTCTGTTTGGACATTCACACATGTCTACAAAATGGCGGCTAAAGTAATCTGTGACACAAATCATAGTCTCCTCAGGCACCTGTGGCACTCTGGCGACTGTATTGGGTCATTACCACGGTGACTGGGATTGCAATAATGACCAGCCCTGATTCTGGAACCTTTAAAAGTGACAGGAAAAAGAAAAAATAAATCAGGTCTGGATTTGAAGGGAATTTGTTGTTGTGAAATGTTTAATATTGTAATTTGTGGTATTAGAAACCATTCTGTTGACTATTGATAAATTTTTGCTACCTGGAACCCATACAAAGTGTTATGGGTAAATGTATATGGCAAAAACACAGATGTGTGCTTCTGGAAATGCTCTAAAAGCACAGGTCCAGAATCTCAGATCTAGGACAGATCTAGGACCAATTCTTTGAGGGCACCATCTATTTTGTCCTTGAAATGTGGGCTTTGGACCTTTCTATGCACCACAAAGCCAAGGTTAGAGAATATCTGGAGGAGATGGATAACGGTACTTGAAAGCCTTATAGAGATTTTCTCAAAATCTTCCGGTCAACACCACCAACATCTGGGCCTCAGTGTGACCAACTCTGATCCATGACAGTAAAAGATGGGTTAACGTCTGGTAGAATGGCAGCAGTGTAGAGAAATGGCTGCAAGTATATGGCACAGCACAGTACAGTGAATCTCAGCACAGCCACGTCCAGCTGAGTCCAGTCCTCAAAGCCCATTGGAGGCCTATAGTCCACAGTCCATTGGTCACGCTCAGTGGAGCCCAGTCCAGTTATGTCCATCCTACTCCACAGAGCTCAAAGGTCCTCCATTTTGGGACTAGCTGAAGACAATGTTATGCAAGATCCTTAGCAGATGGACAGGCATTACAAATCCCACTGCACATGTCCTACTTTAACTGCATGTGTGTAGTCAGAGGCAGCCTAGGCATGATGGCAGTATCATGTCTAAGTCTGAATGCAATTTTCTACTATTGGTCCGTGTGGTGGCACACCAAATGCATGAAATGCGGTGGCACATATGCACGTAGTGTATATCTGATAACGCATGAACCGAAGACATGTCGCACAAACTGTGTATCAACGGTGATTACAGGTGAGTTGAGATAGAATTGAAAAAGGGAAGGGAAAGTGGGATACCTAGTCAGTTGTACAACTGAATGCATTCAACTGAAATGTGTCTCCCGCATTTAACCCAACCCCTGACTCCGAGAGGTGCAGGGGGCTGCCTTAATCGACGTCATCGGTGCCCGGGGAGCAGTTGTTTTTGGGGGTTAACTGCCTTGCCCAAGGGCAGAACGGCAGATTTTGAAGGCCTCTCCTTAAGTGAGTACGATCCTAAAGTCCTGTTTTTTATGGTTGTGTCGAATTTATTGTAATTCTGGCTTTTGTTTGGTTGAATTGTGTGTCCTTTCCTTGGTTCACTTCCACTTTCTAATTGTACCCAGGGTCAGTGGATACAGAGTCCTTCAGGCCAAGCGGTCCAGGTATCCATGTGATGTCACTTGGGGAGACAGTCGCTAGGACACCAGGAGGGCAGAGATGAGCAGTGTTGCCACGGTGAGCAGAAGGCGATCGCGTGATGGGCTGCTGCCGCTGACGCTCTTCTCCAGTTTGGGAATTTCAGGGTTAAATTCATCTGGGTGGGGAGAGAGTGAGAGTGAGAGTGAGAGAGACCATCAAATTACACATTAACTCAATCAATCTACAGCCGATGTTGTGCAATGCATACAAATAATGCACATCCACATGCAGAGAACAGACAGAGCAATTGAACACAAATCGCCAATCATCATCAGTGCTGCTACATATGATGCCCTATTCCCTCTTGGGATGAGGAATAAACACACTTTGTTGTTCATTTTTTAAATGTATGGATCTTTTTATTCTACCAATTCGGCTTCATCTAGCAGGATTTGCAATTACATTAAATGACCATAGAACAAACCCATTCACAATCCTACATTAGCTGGAGGGTAAGAGAAGGAGAGAGAACAGGGAAAAAATCCATCTCATTCTCAATGTAAGCCTGGGATGTGTGAGCAGAATCCTGAGCCTCCCTATAGGAGGAACAGCATCCAACTCGACTGGTTTGTCTGTGCTTCTGCCACGTCAAAGCCATTCAGAGAAACATTAGGAAACATGTCTGTCGGCTATGATGATGACACATAGCCCTGACATCCACACCAGTGACGTGGGTAAATAAAGTCATATGGTAAAGTGATAGGGCCGGGTCCAGCTGATTACCTGTGGTAAACAGACGGTTCCAGCTGAAAGGTAGATTACCCATACAGTTAGACAGAGATAGGATATAACCCATTTTAGCATGGACATTGCCATTGAGGGCTTCCACCATTTTAAAGTAGTCAACTGGGTGGCGATTCTTATGGGTGTGGAGCGATCAGCCAATGATCAGAGCATTGTCTTCTTCTTCAAATTGGATGGCCTATGGTTAGTAAATGGCTTTAAGCTATATCACCACCATCTAGTGGCCACAATAAATGAATGACACACAAGATTTGATTCAGGACTCCAGCACTGCATGTGACGGTAAATCACCAATATTAGCTTTACGCAAAATAAAAATAACATTGACTACTTTAACATAGAGATAGCCTCAATGGTGCTGCCCATGCTGTCACAGATGCCATAATTGCACAAATACAAGGATGAGTGCTTTATCTAACTCTATGAGATTAGTTGACAAGGTATTTATCAGTATGTTATCTTAGACAGGGAGGGGCAGTGAGTGAGTTCATACCATAGAAACAGGAAGTGAGTGTTATTATTTAACCTGAACAAAAAGTTAGTATGTTGCAAAGTTAGAGAACATTGCTGTATTAGGTGGAATAGTGTTCCTGATTGTGTAAGGTAGTGCTAGCTAAACTGGAGCTGTTACAGTGAAGAGGCGACTCCGGGATGCTGACCTTCTAGGCAGTGTTGCAAAGAAAAAGCCATATCTCAGACTGGCAAATAAAAAGAAAAGATTAAGATGGGCAGTCTGAGATATGGCTTTTTCTTTACAACTCTGCCTAGAAGGTCAGCATCCCGGAGTCGCCTCTTCACTGTTGACGTTGAGACTGGTGTTTTGCGGGTACTATTTAATGAAGCTGCCAGTTGAGGACCTGTGAGGTGCCTGTTTCTCAAACTAGTCCTCTTGCTCAGTTGGGCACTGGGGCCTCCCACTCCTCTTTCTATTCTGGTTAGAGCCAGTTTTTGAAAACAAGGACATTTCTAAGTGACCCCAAACTTTTGAACGGTAGTGTATATATACATATACATACATACATATACACATACATACATATAAATAGATATACATACATATATATACATATCCTTAAAAAATATATACACTGCTCAAAAAAATTAAGGGAACATTTAAACAACACAATGTAACTCCAAGTCAATCACACTTCTGTGAAATCAAACTGTCCACTTAGGAAGCAACACTGATTGACAATAAATGTCACATGCTGTTGTGCAAATGGAATAGACAACAGGTGGAAATTATAGGCAATTAGCAAGACACCTCCAATAAAGGACTGGTTTTGCAGGTGGTGACCACAGACCACTTCTCAGTTCCTATGCTTCCTGGCTGATGTTTTGGTCACTTTTGAATGCTGGCGGTGCTTTCACTCTAGTGGTAGTATGAGACGGAGTCTACAACCCACACAAGGGGCTCAGGTAGTGCAGCTCATCCAGGATGGCACATCAATGCGAGCTGTGGCAAGAAGGTTTGCTGTGTCTGTCAGTGTAGTGTCCAGAGCATGGAGGCGCTACCAGGAGACAGGCCAGTACATCAGGAGACGTGGAGGAGGCCGTAGGAGGGCAACAACCCAGCAGCAGGACCGCTACCTCCGCCTTTGTGCAAGAAGGAGCAGGAGGAGCACTGCCAGAGCCCTGCAAAATGACCTCCAGCAGGCCACAAATGTACATGTGTCTGCTCAAACGGTCAGAAACAGACTCCATGAGGGTGTTATGAGGGCCCGATGTCCACAGGTGGGGGTTATACTTACAGCCCAACACCGTGCAGGACGTTTGGCATTTGCCAGAGAACACCAAGATTGGCAAATTCGCCACTGGCGCCCTGTGCTCTTCACAGATGAAAGCAGGTTCACACTAAGCACATGTGACAGACGTGACAGAGTCTGGAGACGCCTGGAACGTTCTGCTGCCTGCAACATCCTCCAGCATGACCGGTTTGGCGGTGGGTCAGTCATGGTGTGGGGTGGCATTTCTTTGGGGGGCCGCACAGCCCTCCATGTGCTCGCCAGAGGTAGCCTGACTGCCATTAGGTACCGAGATGAGATCCTCAGACCCCTTGTGAGACCATATGCTGGTGCGGTTGGCCCTGGGTTCCTCCTAATGCAAGACAATGCTAGACCTCATGTGGCTGGAGTGTGTCAGCAGTTCCTGCAAGAGGAAGGCATTGATGCTATGGACTGGCCCGCCCGTTCCCCAGACCTGAATCCAATTGAGCACATCTGGGACATCATGTCTCGCTCCATCCACCAACGCCACGTTGCACCACAGACTGTCCAGGAGTTGCCGGATGCTTTAGTCCAGGTCTGGGAGGAGATCCCTCAGGAGACCATCCGCCACCTCATCAGGAGCATGCCCAGGCGTTGTAGGGAGGTCATACAGGCACGTGGAGGCCACACACACTACTGAGCCTCATTTTGACTTGTTTTAAGGACATTACATCAAAGTTGGATCAGCCTGTAGTGTGGTTTTCCACTTTAATTTTGAGGGTGACTCCAAATCCAGACCTCCATGGGTTGATACATTTGATTTCCATTGATCATTTTTGTGTGATTTTGTTGTCAGCACATTCAACTATGTAAAGAAAAAAATATTTAATAAGATTATTTCATTCATTCAGATCTAGGATGTGTTATTTTAGTGTTCCCTTAATTTTTTTGAGCAGTGTATATTTCCCTTTATTACTTTCCAACCCCACCACCCCTTCCCTAATTGGAGTAAACTAGTGAACAATAATGCTTAGGCCTCTACTGCCAGCTTATACATACTATATACATTTTATGGACACAGTCAATTTTACAATAATTCTATTTTGTTTGTTTTTACTCCTGAACTTCCTCTACCCTCAACCTCTCCGATCATTTTCTATATGCCATATCTTTCTAACTGTGCTCTTTCACAAAAGCTCTCAACCTATAACCTATATACTTATTATGGACACAGTATGCTTTACATTAGTTATCTTGTTGTTATTAGTTGTTGTTAGTTGTTATTAGTCCCATTCTTCAGCTCCATTCAACACCTCCCATCTATCTCTTAACACCATCCATATTGGATTTCTATTTGCAATATATTTTTCAACTGTACTGTGATGTTTCACAAAAGTTCTGAACCCTTCTATTCTCATTGTTTCTACAGTTTGTAAATTGAAAATAAACATTGTTGCTAAAAGTATTATTATATTATTGTTACGTAAGTGTTTATGGGTCATGAGTCATGACTGCTACTGTCCTCTTTCTGTTGATGTCACTAATGCATAAAGTACAGAAGGATGCATTAGAAGGCCCCAAGGCATTCTGGGTTGTTTGGACTATGTGCGTTTACTTTCTTTTTTTCTCTGGAAAGCTCGGTCATGAGTTACCATTGAGTCTCTCTCTCTCTCTCTCTCTCTCTCTCTCTCTCTCTCTCTCTCTCTCTCTCTCTCTCTCTCTCACTCACTCACTCACTCACTCACTCACTCACTCACTCACTCACTCACTCACTCACTCACTCACTCACTCACTCACTCAATGGTCTTATAGCTCAGTGGCTCTTCCCCCCCCTGTGCCCTGGTCTGAGTTTCCATCTCATGCGGGTCACACTCTTTTAGCCCCGTCGCGGCTGGCGACAAGTTCCCAGAAGCGGCCAAAGCTAAATGGTTCTCAGCAAAAAAGGCTTTAGTGAGGGAGAGAGAGAGGACGAGGGGGTTTATATAACCACTCAATTGCACCATCGACTCGTTCACCACCTCCACCTCCTGGTCTTTGGTAAACAGGAATCTTCCATTCATTAGAATACCTATTGGTCCTAGGATACAATTGAGGAAGGACAACTGTGTGCGTGTGTGTGTCTGTATGAGAGAGAAAGAGCGACAGAGAGAAAGAGAATGTGTGTAAGTGTGTGTGTGTGTGTGATGTGCATACCTGTGTGTGATGTGCATACCTGTATGTGAGACTGTGTGCCTAGCAAGGTGGTATTCAGAGAGAGATGCAGAAAGAAAGGGAGAGAGAGAGAGAGAGAGCATCAAGGAGCGCACTCACCGATGTCGTGTATTTTGACATTGGGCCTGAATGTGTAGTCAGGAGGGGTCTGACTGGAATCATCATCGTGGGAGACTTAGAGAGAGAGGAACACAAATACACAATGTCATTAAAATGCCCAAACTACTTATTTTACACACTAACTGGGCAGCCACTGCACTGTGGCACATTCCCAAATGGTACCCTTTTCCCTATATAGTGCACTACTTTTGACCAGAGCCTGGGTTACGTCTCAAATGGCTCCCTATATTGCGCGTCAAATGGCACCCTATTATTACTTATATATTGCACTACTTACATAGTGCACCCTATGGGCCCTGGTCAAAAGTAGTGCACTATAAAGGGAATATGGTGCCATTTGGGACGCACGTTGTGTGAATACCAGGATACTCCAGTCCAGTACATGAAGATATACTATGAGGCGAAGCTAAGGCATATTCACTGAGAGGGAAAGTATCACACACACTGATAGTCTAGACTTGTCATTACATTAACATCAGCTCAGTGAATTGTTTAATGAGAATGCACATTGCTTATCCATATAATATTGCACAGCAAAGAGGGATGTAGCATATGGTACAAGGATTTCACATATTGATAGGGAGCTACTGTACTGTGTGTTAATATTGTAAGTATGTGTATGTGTAGAGAATAATGCTCTCAAAACCAAAGAGATAGGACAGAGATACAGTGGAATGAGAATAGCAGAGAACAATTGGGTTCAGATGGTAGGCTATTAAGCAGACCGTGCAGAGTAAAGGTTGTGGTTTGTAAAGTAAACACTATCACACACATGCAATCACGCACAGATGCACGGACACACACATGCAAACACACACACACACTTTCTACTAAAAAATACACACACACACACCACCCGAGTGGACACTTCAATAGATTAGCCCTGACACTCAGAGAGGGGGTTAAGGTGATGTGTACACAGAAGCTGACACTGGCCTGAGTGTGGGATGTATTAATGGTGACAAGGTTAGAGAAGTGGGGGGGGGCTTTCAGCACAGGGCTTTGATCAAAGGCCTGCAGGAGAGAGAGGCTACTGGAGTAAAAATAACACAGAACATCACTATCAGAGAGCGCATCAACTATCAGAGAGATGCAGAAATGAGCGAGAGGGGGAGATGTTGAGGAGAGAGAGAGAGAGTGTGAGACAGAAACAAAGAGAGGGGAGTGGGGGAGAGAGAGGGAAATAGAGAGAGATAGAGGGAAAAGAGAAAGAGGGGGAGAGAGAGAGGGAAAGCATCAGATAGAGAGAGAGCACATCAGGATAGAAGAGAGAGCATTCTTATCAAACACTATCAGAGCACTGAGACCCAGAATAACACTGAACATCACTATCAAAGCCCTGGAACATAGAATAGCATAGAACATCATACAACCCAGGAAGATAGAAATGAGATAGAAATAACCTCACTATCAGAACCCTGGAAAAACACTGTCAGGCTGTAGCCTCAGGTATCCAGTGTCAACTGTGTGTGTGCGTGCACTTGTTTTCCTCCATTATCAGGACCCCAATGTCGTAACATTTCACCTTAATGTCCTGAAAAGGTAGGAAAACAAGAGCTTTTTTGAAAAGTCAGGTCCCGAATTTGTTCAAATGCTATTTTAAGCTTAAGGGTTAGGTTAAGGGTCAGGGTTAAGGGTTAGGGAAAAGAGGATTTTTAATGCAAAAAAAAATTTGCACTACAAAAAGTCCTGAGATTTCACGAAAACACAGTTGGGTGTGCGTGCGTGACGGTGTGTGTGTGTGAGTGAGTGAGTGAGTTCTAAACTTCCTTAATAAGCACAATGTCTTGAGCAAAAGCCAAATTGGATTTATACCAAAACATCGCACGACCGATCATATTTACACCCTACACACCCTGATAGATAAACATGTCCACCAAAATAATACCAAAATGTACGCTTGCTTTATCAACTTCCAAAAAGCATTTGATTCTATTTGGCATACAGGACTGTTCTACAAAGTTATTGAAAGTGGTGTAGGGGGTAAAACATATGACATAATTAAATCAATTACGTGTAGCATCAAAATTGGCAAGAAGATAACAGAATTCTTTAACCAGGGGCGGGGCCTTCGCCAGGGTTGCAATCTGAGCCCTGCACTCTTCAATATTTACATAAACGAATTGGCCACTATTCTAGAAAAATCCCCAGCCCCTGGTGTTAGTCTCCACAATTCAGAGGTTAAATGCCTACTCTTCGCAGATGACCTATGCCTGCTGTCACCCACAGCACATGGCCTACAGCAGAGCCTGGACCTGCTAGAGCAGTACTGCCAGACCTGGGCCCTGGCAGTAAACCCAAAAAGACTAAAATAATGATTTTCCAGATCTCAGGGAATTAGACCAAAGTTCTCAATTGGTACAAAATATATAGAGTACTGCACACACTACAATTACTTAGGTTTAAAAATGAGCTCAACTGGACACCTTAATGATGCAGTGAATGAACTGAGAGAGAAAGCACGCAGGGCATTCTACGCCATTAAAAAATAAATTCAAATTGAAATACCTATTAAAATTAGGCTAAAACGAATTGAATGTGTCATTGAACCAATTGCACTTTATGGCAGCGAGGTGTGGTCCACTTGCAAAACAAGATTTCACCAAATGGGACAAACATCCCATTGAAACCCTGCATGCAGAGTTCTGTAAGATTCTCCTACATGTCCAGAGGAAAACTACAAACAATGCATGCAGGGCAGAATTAGGCCAATATCCACTTATAATACAAACTCAAAAAAGAGCAATTAAGTTTTGGAAACATCTAAAATACAGTGACCCCCTCTAATATCATTACCAAGCCCTGCAATACCAAGAGCTGAGCAAAGAAAAGAGTCCCCTCATCCAGCTGGTCCTGGGGCTGAGTTCACAAACCAGTTCTACTAACACATTAAAGCCTCAGGACCAGAACATCCAATCGATCAGAATAAACCAAATTACAACACAGTCAAAACAAAACTACATTTCTTATTGGGAAACACAAGCACAAGCACAAAGTAAAATGCAGTGCTATCTGGCCCTAAATCGACAGTACACCGTGGCTAACTATTTGACCATGGTTACTGATCAAAACCTTAGAAAAACCTTGACAAAGTACAGGCTCAGTGAGCACAGCCTTGCCATTGAGAAGGGTAGACACAGGAAAACCTGGCTCCCTGTAGAGGAAAGGCTGTGCAACCACTGCACCACAGCAGAACCTGAGACAGAGCTGCATTTTCTTACAAAATGTAAAAAATATAAAACAATTAGAGAGTGTCATTTCCCCAAATTTGAAACAGTTTTTCAAGGTTTCAAAGACCTCTCTGATGAGAATAGGCTACCCGTCCTGTTGGGGGAGGACGCAGAGAGCTGTGGGTTGGCAGCACACTACATTGCTGCCTGCCATAAGATGAGGGACAGTGTCTGACAGACCAACCAACATGCACATGTCCTCTATATTGTTATTGTTCAATGGTTATCTTGACCCTTGGTTATTGTTGTTACTGTTGTCCCATTGACAATATTGATTATTATTATTTTAATTATGTTAATAGTGTAAATATCCAAAGTAAGCTTTGGCAATATGTACATTGTTACGTCATGCCAATAAAGCAAATTGAATTGAGAGAGAGAGAGAGAGAGAGAGAGAGAGAAGAGAGAGAGAGAGAGAGAGAGAGAGAGAGAGAGAGAGAGAGAGAGAGAGAGAGAGAGAGAGAGAGAGAGAGAGAGAGACCCACCTGTGGAGCAGCAGACGTAGACTCTCAGTCTCAGGCAGCTGTGGCCGTGGTGATGGGTAGGCGTGGCTTCAACAGAATACAGATACATGTCAGCCATGTGCCATCTATAGGCCAGCCTATGAACTAACACTCAGAGTCTATGTCCATGTCCCAAATGGCACCCTATTCCCTACATAGTGCACTACTTTTGACCAGAGCCTATATAGCTCTGGTCAAAAGTAGTGCACTATGTAGGGAATAGGGTGCCATTTGGGATGCGGCCTACGTGAAATGGTAATTATAGTTTATTACAGCAGTTTAACACAGCTATTAGTGGTAGGTTTATTCACAAGGAAGGAAGTATATTTAGGACTGTGGTGTAAGAGTTAAATTAACTCATGTTGAATGACTCACAACTTGAATGCTGTAATAGTCCAACTCTAACTTACTAAGGTATGTGTGTGGTTGTTACATATTGGTAATGGCTGAAGTGAGTTCCCACTTACAATATAAAGTACCTGCACTTGGTACACTTGGGAAAGCGCTATATAGATAGCCTATGCAATCCATTGTCATTACTCGACTATAACACCATATAGAGAAAGAGTACCTCAGCTCCACCAGTTCCAGATGTAGTAGTACAATCATCATTACATAATTATTGTACTCCTATAGAGACTTAGCAATATTCCACTCACATATGTAGTAGTACTCGTGGCCCACGTTGAACTCGTAGCCCAGGGAGAAGGCGCTGTAGCGCTGGAACTTCTCAGAGAACTTGATGGGCGCCTGGGGCGCATGCGGCCGGTTGCACTCCCAGCGCTTGAAGCCCATCTGGGGGTCGCAGGTGCGGTAGCCGCGGTAGCTGACCATGTAGAGGACGTACTGTTCGGCCACGGTGCGCTCCAGCGTCCCCCGCTGGCTGGTGGCGGTAGTGTTGTAATGCGGGCAGTAGATGTCCAGGTAGTCGTTCACTGCCACCTGCACCGTGTAGCCCTCCCTCCGTAGACTGGAGAGAGGGGGGGGGACGGAGAGAGGGAGAGAGAGAGGGAGGGGGGAAGGGAGAGAGAGAGAGAGAGAAGGGGGAGAGAGAGCGAGAGAGAGGGGAGAGGAGAGAGTGGGGAAGGAGAGATAGTTGGAGAGAGAGGAAGAATAAATAAAGTCAGAAAAATAGGAGAGAGATGGAGAGGGAGAGAGATGAGAGAGAATAAATACATGGATGAGTAACAGCATACTATACAACTCACCCTGTTAGAATGAAGTGCTTTTAACAACAAAACTAGTGGCAACTGCCACCACCACGAAGGAGAAGAAACCTTAACTTTGCTGGAGTATTGAAACACATCACCCTGAGATGTTTTGAATCATTACATGGTGTGTTGTAACACCACTTAACTAAGTGTTGTGCAACACCTTGCCAGAGACTGGGAGCACTACCGGTAATGGTTGAAAACACTATTTTGGTATTTCGAGTTCTATTTAGTGCAGAAATAGATCCCTTCTCTTTTGGTCTCTATTCCTCTCTCTATAGCTTCTAAACATTATTATGGTGTTTCAAATCCTGTATAGTGCAGAATTAGATCACTTCTTCTTGACTATTTTAATATTTAACATTGATTTATATATCTGATTTGCCAGTTTAACCCATTTTGGCAGGCATTGTTGAGCACAGTGCTCAATCCTCCAGCATTAACTACAGATTTTACAGCAAGCATTGCAGGATACTGTATTTGCCTCTACTATTAAAAGTTGGAAATGAGGGAATGGGTCGTCTCATCATCATTGAACGTCATTTTGCCTGACGGTTTTGATATCCGTTCATCCATTACACCTCATGGCACAACAAGCTGATTAATACTAATATAGAAGTTACTTTTCTTTCTTCGAACATACAACATTGTGTATAAGAATCCTAAAGTCAAAAAATGTTGGCAAGAGCCATGTGACAAGATAGGAAGTGCAAGGAGATTAAAACCAGACTTCCAATGAGTTCAATCACAAAATGTTCTCTATATTTGGTTATCCTCATAAACGATACTTACATTTTGAGCAACATATTAAGCTGGATTTACTCTTACATTTTTGTGTAAAATGAAATTAACAAATCAGTATACAAAGTATACTGTATGTTGGTTGTTGTTGTTTTTTGTCCATTTCAATTCACCCTAGATTTTTTTTTACAGTGTGGCTGTATGGTTGAGTGTTTAAAATTCCAATGAAATTCCAATTAAATAATATAATATGCCATTTAGCAGACGCTTTTATCCAAAGCGACTTACAGTCATGTGTGCATACATTTTTACGTATGGGTGGTCCCAGGGATCGAACCCACTACCCTGGCGTTACAAGCGCCATGCTCTACCAATTGAGCTACAGAGGTCCATTTATGTGTAAATCTACCATCTTACTTCCCCAGAAGTCAGGGGTTCAATTCCCGCTTCCATCTATCCCAATTTCACTCCTATGTCTCCTCCTGTTTCTAATCTGTCTAAATAAAGCATTGAAAAAGGTGGAATTCCACAAAAAAATATTCTCCATAGGCCCTTATCATCAATCAATATTTAGGTTATAAAACATTAGAATTTCTTGACTATTTTGTTTTATGAGAGACACAGTCGGCAAAAAAAATAAAAAAATAGAAAGTGCCATGATGCTGCTTTTTACATGCACTGAAACCCCAAAAAGTGTTTTCACAACACTCTTAAAAACACCAATATTCAGATTGAAGAACCACTTTGGGTGTTTCAAAGTACTTCTATTCTGTTTTCTTTATGTGTATCATCACTTACATTGGGTTTACATTCAATCACCCTCCAAACACCAGATCTCAGGTTAGGTGCACTACTTTTCATGGTTTAATTACTCAATCATGGTGTTTTGAGTTTTTTTATTTTTACAGTGCACACCTTCAAGCCTCCTGCCATTCTCATGAGCATTGCATAGTCTTGATAAGTGAGGCGGAAGGAGATCATGTCATTGGCGATATGGCTCTTCTACCACAGGGAGGATGGATACACTGATGTGAAGGGGCTAGGTCCCATGTGCCAATGGCGACCGAACACAGTGTACCAGAAGTACAGAAGATCAGTCTTGGGTTGGGACATGTGAAGTGTGTGTGTGTGTGTGTGTGTGTGTGTGCGTGCATGCATGTGTGTACACAGTCATCACTGTCAATCAAATAAAAATACAAAATATTGGTTGCATACACATGTTTAGCAGATGTTATTGCGGGTGTAGTGAAATGCTTGTGTTCCTGTAGAGAAGATGATGTGACATGATTTAACATCCTGCCCCCATGACAGGGCTTGACATCCCACTGGGCAAAAACTGGTTGAATCAACACTGTTTCCACATCATTTCAATCAAAAAATTTGATGACGTTGAATCAACGTGGACAACTGATTGGATAAGCAAAAAATCATCAACATAAGGGAATTTCTTATTTTTTTCACCCAACTTTTAACCTAAATCCAATGGCCTAGTGAATTTTGCTGATTTTACGTTGAATTCACGTTAGTTGACACCTCAACCAAATGTAAATCAAAACTAGACGTTGAACTGACCTCTGTGCCCAGTAGGATGGCTGTTTATCATACTATGTATATTAATTATCGTAATTGTACAAAGTATTATTATACAAACTCATTACACCTATCCTGAAGGGATAGAGAGGACAATTGATGAGATGTGAGTAATCCTTAGCTGTGGGTGGGAATCTGTGTCAGGATAAATGGCATGGGAAATCTGCAACAACTGGAGCTGTATTGACTACTATGTAACAGTAGGTGGCAGTATTGGGATGCATTCAGCCCTAGGGGTTTCTCTCTCTTTTCTCCTTCTTACAATCTCTCTCTCCTCTGACACACACACACACACAAAATGAGCAAACGCTCACACACACACGCGCCATCGCACACAAGTGCACACACATGCAATGCACGCACGAACGCACGCACGCACACACACACACACACACACACAATACTAAGTATGTTCTCAAGAGAGATTATTATTCAATTACAAAATGAGGATCAGAAATGTCACAACCCCCTCTCTCTCTCCCTCTCTCATTATAGTGTAGTAGAGTAACTCCTTTTCTGTGTCTTTTCCTCCTTCACCCTCGCTCCATCTCTCTTTATCTTTCCCCTTCTCCTCGTTTGCCATTACACACATGCTAAGACAGATGAATATCATATCCCTTAACCACTGTTCTTTCCCTGTCATAAATCTTACAATATCTCCTCGCTCGTACCCCACTCCTCTCTCAGATGTTGGATGACAGATATTTGTCTCAGAGTGTTGCAAAAAGAAACAACACAGCCATGCTTCAAAGGGACTATATTTAGAGAGAGAGGGAGAGATGGGAGAGAGAGAGAGAGAGGGGAAGGGAAAGAATGAGAGAGGGAGGGAGGGAGGGGGAGAGGAAGGAAAACGAGAGGGGAAAGAGAGAAAGGGGAAAGAGAGCGAGAGAGAGAGAGAGAGAGAGAGAGAGAGAGAGAGGGAGAGGTGAGAGAGAGGAAAATAGAGTAAGAGACGGTAAGAGAGGGAAAGGAAGAGGAAAGATGGAGAATGTGATGACGGGGAATCATGGATACAAATGGAATAGAAATGCATAGGGAAAGGAGCTTCTGTCATTGAGAGAGTAGGGGGAAAGAAAGGATAGAATGTGTGTGCATTTACAAGTGTGTGTGTGAATGTGGGTGTGTGTGAGCATATTTGAACACTGCTGCTTTAGTAGCGCACTCTACGCATAACATAACATAACATAACATAACATAAGGGTTAGATCCCAGTTCCATCACAAAGGCACATACAGAGTCAGAGGTGGGAAGTGGGAGGAGGAAGATGGAGGAGGGAGATGGACAAGGATGCTCTATAGGTGTGTGGAGTCACAGACTTATAGAAGCGGTCCACTTAGTGACAAATGAGGTGATGGGGCGAGGAGGGAGGAAGATGTAATAACAAAGAGAGGGAGAAAGGAAGAGCGAGGAGGGCTAGTGGAGGAATCTAAACAGGAGAAAGAGGGGAAAATACAGTGAAGATGACAAACAAGTGAAAACAAAATGGAGAGAAAGGGAGGCATAGGGAGAGACAGAAAGGGAGGCAGAGGGAGAGACAGAGATGTAGTGCACCCCAGGGATACACACATATGTAGTTAAGTGCAGGGGGAAAAGAGTGATGGTGCCTCTCTTTCTCATCCTCTCTGTGCATTGTCTCTGTGTCGTTTCTGCTGTATCATCATCATTTTCCTGTGAGTGGGAAAGCACTGCTCGTTAGTACAGCCAGCACAAGCTGGTGAAGACAGCCTAGAGAGAGGGGAGCGAGGGAGAGAGACGAGAGACAAAGACAAAGATAGCACCACTGTCTCCACTAAAACGTATTTTGAGAATACAGCCGCTATCAATAAATAACAAAGAAACTGCAAACAGACAACAGTGGACAGAAACTAAGGGTCTGCTTCTGCAGTGGAAGATCTAAATAAAATAAAATGTCCAACCAAACCAACCTCCATTGTGAATGAGCATAAACAAAATGCCCATTACCATTACATCACAGTTAATACTGTTACAGTAACAGCATTGACTGTTAGTGATAGTAGATCACTAGAACTACATGCCGTTTACATGCAGGCTGCTATCTGACCATCATATCTAACCAAACCTCTCCGTTGTGGATGACTATAAACAATATGGTCATTAATGTTAATCATTACTGTTACATCACTGTCAGTACCATCACAGTAACAGCATTGACTGTTAGAAATAGTAGATCACTAGATCTGCATGCTGCTCACATGCAGGCTGCTGTCTGACCTAGCCTGACGACTCACACTAAGTTCTTCCGCTGCTCAGTCGTTCGCTACATAATTTAGTCTGAGACTGCCATCATTGAAGTCGTTTGTGGTGACGAGGGGCACGAGAGGGCGTTGTACAAAACAAAGTAATCAGTGATTGGATAGTCTCCAATCAGAGCATCAAAGCCAAAGACACATTTTCAAACCACCGCTTTACCCACGTGTGTTCTGGCTCTGGCCCAACCCATTGTTTTCTGGACCAATCAGACGGACCTGAATGTGTTCGCATTCGGTGAAGCGTCAGGGAGGTACTCAAATCAAGACTCATTTCAGAGAAGAAACGTCTGTGGGCGTGGCGTAGCGTTTACAGTCACAGTATTGACTGTTAGTTTTAGTATTGTATCTGCATGCCGCTCACATTCAGGTTAGTTTCTTAGTCTGACCATCAAACAACCTTCATTCAATCTCAATGAAATCATTATGACATCATCAATCATCTCCCTCAAGGTCACCATGATGGATTTACAGGTGAAACACAGCTGCACTCATGTAATAAATGTACCAGTAAAATAGCGATGCAATCGTTTCTTCCTCTGATTTCTCCAATCGTCTAACTAACAGAACACCGACAGGCTCCTCTAGCTAGACAGGGACAGGCTCTGCTGCTTTTCCTCATACCTCAGCACCAAAAGTCATTACATCGTCTCCAAGTAAAAGTACACACCGTCTCCAGCAAATCCTCCCTCTGCTGATTGGGTTTACCTCGCAATTAGCGCACCGTTTACAGTGTTTCGATCCAAAATGGAGGCTGAAAACAAGTGCTGAGGCGTGGGGGAAAAGAGCTAGACGCTGCAGCCTTTCAGGCCTGGGATTACCACTAGATCTGACTGGAGTATAGTGATGATTCAGAGATGACTCAGGGTGGTGGTGGGTGCTGCTCTACACTTTACACACACACAGACGCACAGACGCACACGCACAGACACAGCACCAGTCTGAGTAATTCTGTCTGACTGCACACATTAGGGAAACAGGTCCCCATAGCTAGTGGAGCCAGGGTTTGGGTTTGGGTTAGGTTGCAGATTGGAGCTACTAAATGAATACCGTCCAATGACTTTAGTGATGCCAGTATGTGACAGAGTCTCTCTCAGGCAAAACAGCTAATAGAGGGGGCAGGTGGAAATGAAGGCCGCTCTCTGATTGGTGGAGAGCTGATAGTAAAAGACCACTAGGTGATGTCACACCACAACAAATAAATACTAGTGCTTTCTTTACAGGGTATCAACAGAGGTATGAGAGGAGTGTATGGCTGCATCCCGAATGGCATCCTATTCCCTATATTGGTAGTTACAGTCTTGTCCCATCGCTGCAACTCCCGACGGTCGAGAGCCATGCGTCCTCCGAAACACGACCCTGCCAAGCCGCACTGCTCCCTTAACCCTGAAGCCAGCCACACCAATGTGTCGGAGGAAACACCATCCAGCTGGCGACCGAAGTCAGCTTGCAGGCGCCCAGTTGGTCAAGGAAATCCCGGACGGCCAAACCCTCCCCTAACCCGGATGACGCTGGGCCAATTGTGCGCCTCCTCATGGGTCTCCCGGTCACGAACCCGGGTCTGTAGTGATGCCTCAAGCACTCCGATGCAGTGCCTTAGACCGCCGCGCCACTCGGGAGGCCTTATCGTGCACTACTTTTGACCAGGGCCCGGTTTCCCAAAAGCATATTAAGGCTAAGTTCATCGTTAGAACCTTAAGATGCCTTTGGGAAACCGGACCCAGAGCCATATGGGCTCTGGTCAAAAGTAGTGCACTATATAAGGAATGGAGGGCCATTTGGGACATTGTCCTATCTCTGAAGGTGAGTGGATATTAAAGGCCTCTGGCTCACCTCTATTCATTCTCAAAGTGCCTCCTGATGAAAAGCAGATCTCATTCTCTCTCTTTCTTTATCCATTCCCTCGTTCTCTCAGAAGAGCTGTATTGATACCAATACAAAAAGCTGTGGTGCAGATGAGGCTCACTCTGCTCGCTCTCTGAGAGCACACTAAATGGGTTGTGTCAGAAAATGGAGGCTCTCATCACAGTGAATTCTCCACAGTGCCCACCTAAGTGGGAATGTCAGGCACATGTTGTGTTGCGGCGAAGGTGTAGGATAACACAGTCCTTATCTTGTAGACGTGTCTCCTCTCAGGCTAAAGGCCACATTGATGAGACAACAGTGTAGAAGAGCCAAGGGGTAAGAGGACTCCTGGAGGAGGTATGTGGACAGACATGTGCGCACACTAGGACATACAGACGCACGATAGTAGCACTCACTCACGCACGCAAACACACACACACACACACACACATTTTAAATACTTTATTTGAATCCACAAATCACATTACAGTCAAGAAGGATTCAAACATTTCAAAGGACACGGATATCTGGACACTACAGATGGCACCTTCTTCTCCACATAGCAAGGCTGCCCTTGACTGCTGACACGGAGCAGTGCCTCGCTATCTGCTTGGACTCTGTCTAATGCAGGCCTGAAAGCCATGTACTGTCAGCCTATGTACACTGAACAAAAATATAAACGCAACCTGACAGGTGTGGCATATCAAGAAGCTGACTAAACAGCACGATCATTACACAGGTGAACCTTGTGCTGGGGACAATAAAAGGCCACTCTAAAATGTGCAGTTTTGTCACACAACACAATGCCACAGTGGTCTCAAGTTTTTGTGTGCAATTGGCATGCTCACTGCAGGAATGTCCACCAGAGCTGTTGCGAGATAATGTTATGTTAATTTCTCCACCATAAGCCACCTCCAACGTCGTTTTAGAGATTTGACAGTACATCCAACCGCCCTCTCAACTGCAGACAACACGTGTGGGGTGGTGTAGGCGAGCGGTTTGCTGATGTCAACGTTGTGAACAGAGTGCCCCATGGTGGCGGTGGGGTTATGGTATGGGCAGGCATAAGCTACGGACAACGAACACAAATGCATTTTATCGATGGCAATTTGACTGCACAGAAATACCGTGATGAGATTGTCACGATCGTTTACGCACGAGACGGACCAAGGAGCAGCGTGATAAGCGTACATATTTATTTAACGTACTTAACACATGAAAAAACAACAAACAAACGATACGTGAAGTCCTAGGTAGACTAAATAACATACCTATCCGGAACAAGATCCCACACCGAACAGGCTGCCTAAGTATGGTCCCCAATCAGAGACAACGAGCTACAGCTGCCTCTGATTGGGAACCACCCTGGCCAACATAGATCTAAACCAGGGGTGTCAAACGTACGGCCCGCGGGCCGGATCAGGCCCGCAAACGGG